CAATTATTACACTGCTTTATTACACTGAACTGTCATGATATATGGGATAAAGACAATTATTAAACTGCTTTATTGCACTCAACTTCCATGACATATTGGATAAAGACAATTATTACACTGCTTTATTACACTGATCTGCCATGATATATGGAATAAATACAATTATTACACTGCTTTATTACACTCAATTGCCATGATATATGGGATAAAGACAATTATTACACTGCTTTATTACACTGAACTGCCATGATATATTGGATAAAGACAATTATGACACTGCTTTATTACACTGATCTGCCATGATATATTGGATAAAGACAATTATTACACTGCTTTATTACACTGAACTGCCATGATATATTGGATAAAGACAATTATTACACTACATCATTACACTGATCTGCTACGGTATATGGGATAAGACAATTATTACACTGCTTCATTAGTCTGAATTGCCATGATATATGGGATAAAGACAAATATTACACTGCTTTATAACACTGAACTGCCATGATATATTGGATAAAGACAATTATTACACTGCTTTATTACACTGAAATGCCATGATATATTGGATAAAGACAATTATTATACTGCTTTATTACACTGAACTGTCATGATAAAGACAATTATTACATGGATTTATTACACTGAACTGCCATGATATATTGGATAAAGACAATTATTACACTGCATCATTACACTGATCTGCCATGGTATATGGGATAAAAACAATTATTACACTGCTTTATAACACTAAGCGGCCATTATATTGGATAAAGACAATTATTACACTGCTTTATTACACGAACTGTCATGATATATTGGATAAAGACAATTATTACACTGCTTTATTACACTGAACTGCCATGATATATGGGATAAATACAATTATTACACTGCTTTATTACACTGAACTGCCATGATATATGGGATAAATACAATTATTATATTGCTTTATTACACTGATATGCCATGATATATGGGATAAGGACAATTATTACACTGCTTTATTACACTGAACTGTCATGATATATGGGATAAAAACAATTATTACACTGCTTTATTACACTGAACTGCCATGATATATTGGAGAAAGACAATTATTACACTGCTTTATTACACTGAACTGCCATGATATATGGGATAAATACAATTATTACACTGCTTTATTACACTGAACTGCCATGATATACGAGATATTTGATCATTGAGTGTTTATGAAATGTATGTAGTGTAATAATGTAGGCTGATCCAGGAGTCTGAGTAATGACTAAACATAGTACATATTTGACACGCGTGAATCTGAATATTAATTAAACCTACTATTTTTTTTACACACAGCAATCCTCAGTTTTGATAAAACCGGAAATGTACAAAACCAATCTTTGCATGTCACGCGACAACACGCCTAATAACAATATTAGTATAAACGTTGACCAGATTGTAAATTATGGTAAAGACACTGTGATACCTTCTCCTAATCTACAGTCAAGAAGTTCCAAAAATACTGATCCATTACCTTATAGTAGATATAATCGATATGGAATGGAGTGGATAACTATTGTAGATGAGTTGAATTGGCAACAGATGCATGGATATGCTGAGAATAAAAATATTGAAGCCCCTTTTGATATTGGAAATGGATCGTTAGGACTTACATCAACCATGACAACAAGGTGAGAAAGCAAAACAGATATAAATTGGTCATGCATGGAACAGTTGTTACTATATGTGGTTAACACTAAATAGGCTTAATAACATATTGAGATAACACAATGTAGTGTTGAGACTGTTCTGTGTTGATATAAAATTGGGTACAGAACGATTGTGCAATATATAAAAACATTATTTATCGGAATTTGATTAGTGTGCATAATCCTAGACAAATCAATGTTGTTGTGACCGAGTAATTGTCATTGACGTTCCCCCTTGAACATCCTCTATCGTGATATTTTGTTTCCATATATTCGAAGAGACATAACGTATTAGTACTCATACACTTTCATTTCAAAAGGCAAACAAAAGCAATCACATTTCTTCACTAGATTTCCTTATTCACTCTTTATATCTGATGCCTGATCTGATGGTAATTAACAATAACAGGTTTTCTCATTATTTACGATTTAATATTTTTGTTAGTTTTCTTGCGATTGATTGCCAAGTCTTTAGAATGTACTCGCCCATAACAAACCTATAATCGCGCATTATTTTCTCGTTCTACCATCAGTGGTCCAGTAGTAGTACAAACTCAACACAATTACAACCACAGTCACACATCAATTATGCCAGCAGGTCCGCTTTCAAACCACAAATGCAAATGCAGGCACAATACATCACAAGTATCACCCTCCTAGTGATTATTTTACCACCTCATTAGCGACACCAATAGTCCCAACATGTACACTACAAAACCCATTGAGACACACCAGCACTATCCAAACACATAAGTCAATGTAAAACAGTAACATCGTTCGTTATTGGTCAACATTACCCCCTGAGCAATACACAAATAATGCACCAGCAGTGGTGAATACCAATGAATACCAACAACCTACACTCCCTTCTATGCAAAACATTGTTCAATACACAGATCACTGAGTCAGCCACAACCACTACTGTGCTACACCTGTCCCTAAACAACATTTCAACATGGTATCATCACACCAAATATGAAATGTTCCTATATTCAGTGGTACATCTGACTGCATGATTTTGGTGGAAGACTGGATTTGAGACATGACATACATTTTAGAGGCAGGTGGAACACCCCTTTGCCTACACATTCTTTCAATATTCAGACATCTCAGTTATGAAGCATAAAGGTTGTTATAGAGTATCCCTATAGGTGAGAAAATATCAGAAAAGGCATTTGAAGAACTGAAGGCTGAGTATGGTGACAATTCAAATGACGATTGACCCAATGTCTACATTTTATGAGTGCAGCCAGAAGATCAAGTGAACCTGTACGTTCCAATGCATAGCCCTAGAGGGCAGTATACGCACTATTAAGGAAAAGTAGAATGGAGGATTGGCTTTTGAACGAATACAAATCAGTGTTACATTACTAATAGAAAAAAGATAAATAATATGTACATGAAGGCACTGCTTACATAAATAACAATATTGACAGATAATACATTGCAATAATAAAATAATATTGTAAGAATGAATAGAATGGCAGTGAAAAGGAAATTAACATGGAGGGTAAGCAGTAAGACCACTAAATTAAATTAAATTAAATCAATCAAAATTTAAGCAAATCAAATTAAATTAAATCATATTAAAGTCAAATTGAAACAAATCAGGTTAAAGTATAACGACATTAAAATGAAAAAATCAATACTAATTATTTTCAAGGAGGTGGGATATTAATTTGGATTTGAATCTATGTCTGCGTGTTTCACTTTTTACTTCAGTTGGGAGAGAGTTCCAATGTTTTGCTGCTGTGTATTTTAGCGAATTTTGACTGGACGTAAGATTGATTTTGGGAATATAATAATTGTCGTTTGTTGCCAGGCGGGTTGGGTAACCGTGGGGCATGGGTTCAAGGTATTAATTTATTTAGAACAAAATACACCACGTCAAACATATTGGGGAAGGAGGGACACTACGCTAAAGAATGTGCCTCAGCACCACTAACAAAATCAGATTATGCAAGCAAAGATGCTCCATTAAGAAAAGAAGGGTGAAGGGCAAAACGAGTGACAGCCCTAAAGTGGGAGTAAATGCGCTATACATCTTATCTGACGAAGTCCTAATAAACAATGTTGACAATCCTAGACTTTAAATAACTGCTTTCACGGCACCCCATCAACAGTAATGGTAATGGTAATGATACAGTAATGGTGAATGGTAAATCATACTGGATCCATGGTCAATACAACGACAGATACTATTGTGCGGCAACATCCGGAGTTACATCAGCAAAAGTTTGAGCATAATAATGAAGAGATTGAGAGACCAGGGGGGTATGATGTTGCTCATCATGGTGTACTTCGGTTGTTTATGCAGGTGTTTGCGATTGGTGAATATATGAAGGATGTTCCATTACTAATTGGTACAAACCTTATTAGAGCCAGTCGAGATGAGGTGAGAGCTAATACATACACATTGGTAAGACAGATTTTGGTGGAAGGAATGGCAGAGTAGGTTTTGCAGTTTAAAGGTAAAAACAGTTGGGTCGGGACAAGAGCTGCACATACGCTGTCGGACTCCAAAAGAACCTGCATTATATTGGCTACAGTTGAGAGGCCTGAGAACAGAGACTTGCCAAGTAGAACACTGGTAGGAAGAACCCTGTCTAATCCTGAAAATGGGCATATTTTGGTTCGAACTTGCAATATTTCTTATAATTCAGCTGTTTGTTGGCACAAAGGTGGTTGAGAAATTACCAGCTAATTTTAATAATGGAAATTCTGATGTCAAAGTTTCAACTACAGCCATCACAGCCAAATACATCTGTTGAAGGGAGACGGAACAAAGTCATCCCCTAGATGTTACCAACAGCTATCATGTACAGCAAACTCTGATGATGATGTGATTCATGGTGAAGAGAAGTGCACGCAGTTGCAAGACCTGTTGTACAAAAAACAGACGTTTTTGATTACTGCATCACAAGATAATCCCAGCACCAAGGGGTGCTTAATGCTATTAAAGACATGGATAGATGCTATACAACATAGTCGATATTTGTATGCTTCACCCATAGTTTTGGCATGTAAGAAAGATGGTACAGTGAGAAAATGCAAAAATTATCGTCAGTGAAATGCTATTCGTGATTCCTTTCTCCTACCAAGGATTGATGAGACCTTAGAAGGTTTTGGTAATGCTAAATATTTCTGCATTTAGATCATATTCTGGTTATTGGCAGGTGGTCGTCACAAAATTGCTTGCACCACACCCATAACATTGTACGAAAGTACCCAGGTGCCATTTGGCTTGTCAAATGCACCAGCTATGTTCCAGATGCTGATGATGTGTTGGCTTGGTGACCATAACTTTGAAACTTCACTACATATTTAGACAATATCATTGTCTTCTCAAAATATTCACAGAGCACCTTGATAGACTGTAGATAATCTTTGTTTGGTTGAGAATGCACGGTTCGAAACCACAGAAATGCCATCTCCAATCATGTTGTTACTGTCAACAGAATTGAGACTGACCCTGGGAAAAAGCAAAGGTGAAACACTGGAAACAACCATCAAACCCAGTTTCTCTGGATACTTTAGACGGTTTATCAAAGGATATGTTTCAATTGCTGTTCTATTGTGAAGATTAATTATTGGAGTGTAAGCCCAAGAATGCAAAGATGTAAGACAGCTGTCACACTGTTGAAGATATATTGACTAGTTCTCCAATCCTTTTATGTCATGATTCCAGCCAACTACTTCTTCTGTAAATATATACATCAATAGATGGTATTCGGTTAGTTTTGACACTTGTGCAAGTCAAAGAAGATTAGCATATGCAAGTAAGGGACTTAATCCAGCTGAGTACCGCTACCCTATGCATAAACATGAATTCCTTTGTCCCAAATAGTCCTTAAAATCATCAGTAGCTGCCTATCTCTATAAAATTTTCCTGTCATTACTGACAATAACCCAGTCAAGTATGTTTAATACCACAGGGCAGCAATGTGTGTCAGCGTTTCAGCCTTTAACTTTGAGGTGAAGTACCGAGCTGTTAAGATCAATGTAATGCAGATGCACAGTAGCGGACAGAACATAAAGAAAGTGCGAACAGAAATTCAAGTGAAAACAACTGTGATTAAAATAGATTAGACTTATCATTAATGCCTGATATCCATATAATTACTTACCAAAATGCACCACCATCACAACAGCCACTAACCCACAAGTCAATTCCCAATGTACACAAAAAACATACATATCCTTAAGGAACATGTCACAAAATATTACCTGTAGTTGACTCAAATACAGCTACCCAACATCAGCCCAGTCCAATATTACTCCTAAATCACTATGTCTAGTCAGTCCGGCCCCAATCAATCATGAAATTCAGTAAACCCCCATAGCTCAATCAATCACTGATACATCACTAACACTTCAAAGATAGAAAGTGCTAGTCCAAAAAATCTTCACAGATGGGAACTATTAAAAAGTAAAGTAATCCTCCAGTGAACCATTTGTATTATATATTTTTCTTAATTCGATGCTCCATCTGTCATACTTTATGGGAAGAGAGTACTGTGTTGCAGTGAGAGTGTGCACGGTCCGCCACAAATATATTATGAACCTCACATCTTTTCAATGGATATTCATCTACTGCATACTTCTACATCACACAAACGATTATTTCTCATCCCGCCAGTCTCAATAAAGCCACATTGTTCAGGCCCTGGCCATGACTATCTAATATGGCTTATGATGCTAATGATTATCTATGATGATTATTGAACAACAAAACAACATGACTAGAGCACTGGCAAGCATATTTTTTAAATATGTAATGCTAATATTTTTCGTTTTGGAAATGATCACCAGATTCTCAACACGAGGATCGGATGCATTGAAAAACCAGTTGTTCATTTTTGGCAACTCTGTAATTCATCTATTTACAGTCTGTGTTCCATGTTTTAATAGGTCATCTATGTCTTTCAAGTACATTACAAAGGAGGTTGTCATAATCAAAATATTCACAACTGTAAGGGTCTACCGTATATGTTTAGTGTCTACCCTCTTAATCGCATCATCATGTCTCCCACCACATTATGAAAGAACTCCATTTATACAAGTGTGGCGGCTAAACGAACCATCAGCAGCTTCTTGCTTGTTTCCAGTCTGATTTTATTTTAAGTGTAGGTCGTATTTATTTATTTAGTTAAAGATACTTGTATCAATTTATTTCCCCCAGTTGACATCTACTGAAAATAACTAACTCTATAAAGCGTTCTTCCAGCAAAGGAATTATTGAAAAGTTACATTCCACACAAAACAAGTCATTATCAATGACATAAATTAACATTTGTGGACACAAAATAATGTTGTGTCACTGTAACAACTTCGAACAAGATCGGTCAAAGCAATATCCTAGAAATATTGATAAGGATGCATAACATTAAACATTAACAATGACAGAAGTCAAAACATAACAAAATACATAAATTATACATTTGTTTTATTTAACAATTTTGACTGATATAAAATTTCCATAATTTATTATAGGGTGATGCTCCATAATACAAATATCCAGAAAGGAGAGTTTGTGCATATTGTTATTGAAGCTCGAGACAAAAACAATCGTAAAAGAAACAGAGGAGGTGATTTTTTCATGGCAGTCATGCAAAACACGAAACTGGGAAAAAGCACAGCAGGTCGTGTTATTGATTATGCAAACGGTACATACTCTGTGTTTTTCTATGCAGCCTGGGCTGGAAATGGGAGTGTTAGAGTTCAACTCGCTTTCACTAGAGAGATTATTAATTTCATTAGACAAGTGGTAAAGACAAAAGAAAAATTACAAGGAATTGCTGGAAATTTTACAGATGGAGTTACAATCGAGTCAAGTAATTGTTCAATGATAAGTGAAGGATTGTGGTCTGATAAGTGTGAATATATGAATGCAAATTCCATGGGTAAGACAGTGCTTGTCTGTGATAGACCCAGTACATTGAAATGTTCTCAGTTGAATGTCATTAGTAGGAGTGTCAAAAAAATGAACAAAATCACAGCAGATCAGATGCAAGGTGTTGCTGATTTATTTGAAAAGTAAGTAAGGATAGACATATCACAACTAGGGGTACATTTTTGTGATTTTGGATAATAACATAATGGCAGGTAGGTACTGATAGACTGCTATTTAAATAAATGTGCAATATTTCGCAATTAATCCCCAGATCGTATTTTTTTCTGTGAACAAGCCATGCCTAACACAGTCCCCGTTCGTTATCAAATTTAAGATATATAGTTTTTTTTTATAGTAATATAGTTGGAACTTTAACATGTCAGGAATATGATTTTGATGATTGTTTAACATTAAAATGATTGACATTTGTATCTTATCGTCAAATGAGTATTGTGAGATATTGCTCTGGAACAGCATTAATTAAAACAAAATCATGTATAATGAATAAATGAAACTCGAACATAATTCGCCAAAGCCTGTCAGAGATATGGCTCTAGAATCCCATTTATTAAAACAAAATGGCCGCTAGTCAGCTATTCTGAATCCGATCAGAAAAATAAAATGACGTGCATCAGGAACCCGTAATGTCTAATGTATATACCAAGTTTGAACAAAATCCATCAAGAAATGATTGATATTTGATGATTTTTAAGCACAAAAATGGCCACCAAATGGGCATTTTAATAGGGTCGTCAAACCAATATATCTATGACATGATGTATAATCAATATTTAAAATTTGAACATAATCAGTCAAAGCAATTCAGAGATACATGTATGGCAATAAAACCACATTTATTAAAACAAAATGGCCACCAGTCTACCATTTTGAATATTTTCTGAAAAACAAAATGATGTGCATCAAGATGCTATAATGTTCAACGTATATACCAAGTTTGAACAAAATCCATCTGTAAACAGCCATTCTGCCATCTTGAATCAGATCGTGAAACAAATTGATGTGCATATGTATCATATCATGTATGATGTATGTGTGAAATTTCGAAGATACAGGTCCAGACGCACGCACGCACGGACGGACGCATGGACGCACGGAGGTCAAAACATAAGTCCCCGTTTTCGGACTGCGTCCGAACGGGGACTAATAAAATAAAGTGTTTATCTCCACATTATATTCGTGAGAATAATAGCGTCAAACTAAAAGAATGGTCCATAATACAATCATTAACTGCTGAGTAACTGTGAGACATACTTACCTATAACGCAGAAAAGTGTTCAGAATGAAAATGTTTACCCTGCAAACAACATTTAATAATTTTAAAGAAATAAACATAGACGCGATCTTGGTTGTTAAATGATTGAATTATTGAGTATTATGTTAGAGATCATATTTGGTAACCATTTCATCACGTCGTCCAAAACTGGTCCGACATCTGCATAATAGGTTTTAATATATATTTGTGATATATTCCATTGTTTATGGAATGATACCTGATAACTATGGATAAATGATGAACTAGTAACGAATTCTGTAATGCATTATTTTGGTTAGTGCCAAACCACAAAACAGTGGAATACTGTTTAATTCTTTCAAAAAAATCATACAACATTCGCACTAAACACGATACATGGAAGACATTGGTGTCGAAAGTTACATAAAAACCAAAATCTGTTCATATGGATGCATTGTAACATTAGAGTTTTTATTGTAGGACATCGTACATGTCAAGGTTGCAGGCAACACCATTGTCAGTAACAATACAAGGTAAATACGAAGAACATACATGATATTTGTTTGTGCATATCATGACAGATGTATGCTGTTTGAACTGTAATAATTATCAATTCAAGAAAACATCAAGATTATGAGAGTAAATAACAGCATATTTATGCTACCTGTCACTCCATGATATTCCATAACAAAATATGATTTAAAAATATGAACATTGTTTTGAAATGTGTGATGATCAGATTCGTCCAGAAGCTAACTCATGGTTGTAATGTGTCATTGTCTCTTCTCGG